GGACATAGAAAGGCTGCGGCCCAAATCTCCCCCGACTAAGCTGAAGTCGGACCGTGGTGGCGGAGCACCCAGAGGGGGACGTGGTGGGCCAAACGCAGGAAGAGGTGGAGACAGAGGTCGTGAAAGAAACCGGCCAAATTTCCGTGGGGACAGGGGAGGGTTCAGGGGCAGGGGAGGGCCACACAGGGGCTTCCCACCTCGCTAGGGCAAAAAGTTCATCCCAACCAGACTGATGCTATGAGTCCCCATCTGCAAATGGTATGGTATGATTAGTATGTGACACCTGAGAAGTTAGTGGATGTCAAGTCTTGAATCTTTTTGTTTTGTTTATACTTTTTCATGATTATACAAGTGTCGTCTGAATAAACATTCTTTTCACTATTTGTGTTTATATGTTGATTTTTGTATTATGTCTTGTTATGGAAGTAATGTCAATATTACAGGTAGCTAATATGTAGAGAGAGGGACTGAAAGTCATTAAGAGCAAATGGAAGCTAACACAAACACGATACTGTACTGATACAAGAACAGTTTCTCAAGTTTCTTCCTTAATATTGCTGTCATTTCCGAACAAACAAAATATGTAACTCAGCGTGCTGTTAAGCTGTCATTTTAACAAATACATGTTGTGCTGTCATGTTAAATAATGGTTGATTTTGATTGCTTGTCATATTCTCTAGATAAACAGCAAACTACTGAACCTCAGGGTCCTCTTATAAAACTCATTTATGGCCAAAATATTTGACATTTGCATAAGCATGAGCATCAGCCCTATGAGAGCTGATTGGCTGTTCTTTGTCCATGCTCTCCCTGCATGCTGTTGAGCATGTATGAAGAATGTGAATCAGGCAGAGTTAAGGATGGGTACCATCTGAGGAATGTATCTTCCTTAAATGCTACTTCAGTGTACGCACTCCTTTGAAGTGATCCCTGGGTGTGGGTCTGGTTTTATTGCTTAACATTCACCTCTTCAAAATGTAAAATGGCCTGAAGCAACGTGACGTCACGTAGAAGTGACCTATGATTACCTGTGACATATACATGTTGAGTGACGATGGTGTCCGCTGACTTTTTAATCTTGAATCGCACAGAGGCTGGACAGTTTAAAGTCTCAACAACTGTTTGACTGATTGTGTTGTAATGTGGTACAGACATGCAACAAGTTAAAATTGCCATTGTGAGCAAGTTGGCTTACTGTTGTTAATATTTAGGACCACTGTGCCAAGGTACAGCCTCGCAGAGCTTATTCACTTTTTGTGTGAAACATTTAGTTTTTTTTTATAAATGTGATCCACAAATTTGAGGTCTTGTTTTGCGTCATTATCAATACTGTATAGGAGTTTGCCAGATTAATCTCTCTCAGACTCTTTCAATAGTACGTGGGCTTTGGTGCTTTGCTTCCTCCAAACTGAACACAGGACAGAATAATTCAAAATACATTTTCATTTTCTCATTTGTCTGGGTCTCCTCTTGTGCGGCCTGTGCATATTCACTGTTTCTGAATGTTGTATATTAAATATGCACCAGTTTGCCTGAATTCACACAACTGAATTCTGAACTTTTGATAAAGCCTGGTTCAAATTCTTGTTTCATTTTGATGACATAATAAGAGCCAAAGGTTTTTATACAGGGAATTTGTTGTATATTTTTTATCTCCATAAATCAGAAAAAAAAACTGTCAACAGCCATTAAAAAAAACTATTTCTGCCATGGTTTTAGGAATAAAATAAAATGTTTGAGAAATCAAGCTATGAATGGTATATGAACAAACGCCTTGGTAAAAAACTTAAGAGTATAAAAAGGAATAAAACGGGTAAGTTTGGTGTATGTAAAACCTACTAAAGTGGAGATTTCTGGCTCAAAGTATGAGGAAGAAAAAAAACGTATTTTGAGAAAATGGCCTCAAAAATATGTATCGCAAAGATCTTAACATTTTTGGAGAAAGAATAAGAGTACAGATGAATCAGGTGAAAATTTTTATTGATAGATGTAACCATGATACTTCCCCAACTGATACCTTACATTAAGACAATTATTTTTTTATATAACAAGTTTTCTGATATTTTAGGTTTAAATATGCAAATAACATTATTTTATTAAATATGTGCTTTTTTCATACAGCTCCAGGACAGAAATCTGGACGACAATAAACACAATTAAAATGTGTATTTTGGTTGTTTTCGTAAGCAAAATTGCCCAAATACTCAAATCTGACCAGTGCATGAAAAATCTGTTTCTTCTGTTATGACAATATTTCTCTGTGTTTTGGAGTTTTTTAATCAGCTAAGTGCTTTTATTATAGGTCACACCTCATACTGCATGGACCAAACCTAATGTTAAATTAGGTTTACAACTAAAAATTATAAGAAAAAAGATTGCTTAATAGTAGAAGTAGTCTATGAAATGTCTCAAGTTCTGCAGTTTGTATTGGAGCATTGTTTTAGTCTCTTTATTCTGGTCAAACACAGCTGGTTCCATTGTCTTTGACAATTTGACAGCATACAGTAACATTAGATTGTGATCTCTGACATGGATTTTTATTTCTAATCATTCATATATAAATAAGGCATCTTCAATTCATATATATTTTATATGTATTTTTTATGTATAGTCTCATACAAATGGATAGTGTGGGGTTATGTCAGCACAATACAATTCAGTGCAAATAAACTTTGCAAGGGTGTGTACAGAGACAAGGACGCAGTCACAATTTCAGGGGCGGCTGTGGCTCAGAGGGAGAGCGGGTTATCCACCAATTGAAAGATCAGCGGTTTGATCCCGGGCTCCTCCAGTCCATGTGAAGCATGTTGAAGTATCCTTGAGCAAGATACTGAACCCGAAATTGCTCCCGATAGCTGTTCCATCGGTGTGTGAGTGTGTTAAAACCGAGTAGCAGGTGGCACCTTGTACAGTAGCCTCGGCCACCAGTGTATGAATGTGTGTGTGAATGGGTGAACGTGACTCGTAGTGTAAAAAGCACTTTGAGTGGTCACTAGATGACTAGAAAGGCGCTATACAAATGTAGGTCCATTTACACCATTTACAATAAGCATGTCATCATTATGCTCATTATGTCATCAGACATAATGAGCCTCGTACTGTAAGATGTGTGTATAAAGTACTGTGACCATTGATGGATTACTGAATGGGCCCAGAGGCCTGTCAGTGTCAGTGGCTCCAGCTGGCCTTCACCTGCAAAATGTCACTCAAAGAGAGATGAACTGGCCAGGAAGAGACTGAAAATGACCGCAAAGAGACACAAAAAGGCACAAAACAGCTACAGAGAGATGCACAACAACCACAGACAGACACGATACAACTATGAAGAGATCCTGAACAGCTGCAAAAAGAGACAAAGAGACTCACGACGACTAAGAAAAGGGGATTAACAACCACCAAGACAATAAAGGACCTAAAGAGACTACCAAGAGACGCAAAGCAACAACAAAGGGATGCAAAACGACCACAAGAGGACACAGTTTGACGACAAAGAGACACAGTACGACTACATGATGGGGCAAAACAACTAAAGACATAATAGAGACTCAGAATGGCCTAAAAGACAAGAGCACAGTGAAATGCGTGATGACTACAAAGAGACACAGAACAAGAAAAAGAGACCAAGCAACAGTACAGTCTGTGTGTCTTGCTCCAAGGTAGGAGAGGTGATGGGGCCTTCTTTCATGTCTGTACCCCGGGGCCCATTGTCTCACGATCCATCCATAGTTGTGACAGCAAAGTAACAACTTTGTATTTTCGCCATCGTTGTTGTATGGCGGTCACTTAGGTTATCTGTGTTTTTCTCACATTTCACAAGATGAGTTGAGGGAACTTTGTCCATCTAGTTGTTCATATCAGACTGTAGAATACACACTGTCCACATTTCACTGTGCTCTGCTGACAAGCAACCACAAACTGTCTTTCAAACACCTGACTCATATACATGCCACCTGTAATTGGACATCGTGTGCAGAAAACCTTCAATTACTGAGATTTAACTTTAACAGATATTATCCACCTTCATTATCTATCTATAAAAGGTTAGAACAACAAATGCATATTAGAAGCTAAACACAGTGACTCATTTAGATAACTGGGGACAAAAAAAGCTAAAAACAGTAATTCAACAAATAGCAACTGCATTTAAAACCCAACCCCAAGGAGCCAGGGATCAAACCGCTGATCTTCCAAATGGTGGACATCCCACTCTACCTCCGTGCCACAGCTGCCTCAGTTATATTGAATAGATGTGAGAACACAATCATACTTCAATAAAATAAATAATAAAATAATTGGATTCCCGTTGGATGCACTGTAAAAAAAATCCTGTTCTTTCTCTACCATTTTCTCAACCTATGAGCTTATATTAATAATAACTATATATTTAGTCCTCACAGTGTATTCGAATGAGATAGCTGGAAGGTGGCTATCACTGTTTTAACCCCAGTCCAATCACAATTTGATATCTATACCGAGTCCTATCAAACTTTTGACATTGATTCTGTCTCTGGCGTCTGTAAAGCACATAGCACAGAATTTACATTTGTTTCCTCGTCCCATCATCCTATTTATTTCAGCACAGATACGCCTTTCAACCAAACTACTGTATGCTGTCTGTTACGATTAAACTCTGAGTTAGCATACTATCTTTATTATCAGACACACACCCACAGAAATGTCTTTTTCTGATCAACTGATTGTTTGATCGTTCATAATATCCAAATATTTGAAATAGATGGCCTGAGGACTTTTCCATTCCATTCCATTGCTAAACACAACAGTGTGTTAAACATCTCTCTGAGTGAGCCAAGGTTGTACTGTCAGCCTCAGGGATGGGTGAATTTGAATTTGTGACATTTTGGTCTTCTGATATTTTTAGACACAACAGTAAAGCAAAACAAGTCCTGCCAGTTAACAAAAATCCATGTTTAGTCCCTCTCTGTCAGTGAGCCATTTCATTTGTTGATTTTTACTGAAGAAGATGTGGTTCCTGTGTGTGGTTTTCCCAACTTGTCACATCCATTGAAAAGCAGAAAATTGATGTCATTTTCTTTCAGCATTGCTGCAGAGTTGGATTTTTACTCTACTAAGGTAAGAAAATATTCAGCACATACTAGCATTGCTTTTTAATGCTGTGTTCAACTTACCACATTTTATTTTAAAATTTCAAATGCTCACCAGGATAACTCTGAGAGCATCGTCATTAACTTGCCACCAGTATCACTTCAATTTGTGTTTTTCATTCAGAGCATTATCAAACTAAGTGACCAAAAAAATAAATAAAGAAAGAAAGACAAGAAAAAGGAAAATACAAAGCAACACAATATCTTTGCAATTAATAGCATTTTACTAAAAATGTCATATTTTTTGAGACTTGAGGTTTTTGTGTTGCCTCAAAAAATGTTTGGTAGCCTACATTTTTAGGCTGTACTGCACTGTATTGTATTCAAAAGTGTTTCTAATGTTTTGTCCACCTCATTTAAAGCAGCATAAACAATTGAAACACACTGCAATATATCAAAACTCTACAATGCACAATTTTCTTTTGCTTTGCTGAACTGCCCGGAATGTGCATTATATTGACTGTTACTTTCCTGCCATTCATTTAACAAGAAAAAGCTTTTGCTCATGTTGCCATGTCTCCCTGGTTCGTCATGGTGTGCCTGGTCATATTGTAAACCTTTTTCCCCCTTCACCTTCATGAAACATTGTAGTTCTTAATGTTTTCTTTAGGGAGTAAAATAACAGGACTATAATGATCTGTCAGCTGGGATTTAATAAGATAGATACTGAGTAGGAGATACAATTGGAGGAAATGAATTGTCTCAGTAGCTTAAGAATGCATTCAGTGGTTGGTTGAAAATATCAAGATAAATCATAAAACATTTTTGAAGGTCAATCAATCAATCATTAGTCACATGAAGTCATAAAATATGACTTCAGTGAAATGCAGTCATCAGTTCCATCAATTGTCTATTTAAAATAGTATAGTAATAATAAATGCCATCGTGTAGATTTGAGCAGGGTCTTAATTTACGATTCTTGTGGCCTCTCAGTGCTTGCGTGGTGTAACCGGTGTCTTCTTTACGACCTCAGCAAAGTGAAAAGGCAGTTATACGGGTAGCTGAGATCTTAAACAATTCTACCAGCCTTATTTTTGCAGCGTCTGGTTTAAATATCCTTTATGCAGGGTGGAGCAGCGCCTATTTTGTGTTCAGCTGAATGAACCACGCTTTGCGGTTCTTTGCATTCATGTTTGGTGCTGTTTCTGTATCAGGCAGTGATGTTCCCCGTCAGGATGCTTGGTACAGTTGCTTCTGTCATTTTATAGGTAGATTAAATCCACCAAAAATTCAGAGTTAATTTATGTCATCAGTCAAATTGACGGTGTTGTCCTGGAACTTGCTCCAGACTGCATCATTCAGTGAAGACTGCAGGGCAGCCTCTGATTTGCCTGATCATTTCCTGACCGTTGACATCACTAAGAGCACGCACCATAGTTTGTTTACTTTAATCTCAGCAGGATAGCCACACAGTCACTCTTGCCAAGCTGGGGAAGGGACAGCAACAATGAGCACAGCGTCAGGATTACCAGTCTGTGAGCAGTTCAGGTCTTTGCAGAGATCCTGATATCCAGATATCCTGCTGGAAACTGAAGCAGGAGCGGAGATTATTCAGTTTATTATCCCATGCCTGTACAGTATGGCCTTGTTCAGACTGCCAGCCAAAATCCGATTTTTAGCCAATCTAGATTGGAACCAGATGGCTCTTATGAAGTCTGAACAGTCATAAATGACATGAAATCTGATTTTTGCAAACCAGATCGAAACGACCTTTGGTAGTTTCTAATCGCATTTGGACAGATGTGTCTGAGTCTGAACAGCTCCTTATATGACTTCACACAATACACGCTAGATGACACCTCCACTCCGATGTCGTTGCCATAGCAACCTGTCAGATTGGTCAATAATGTGGCCCAGTCTGAACAGAGCCAAATCCGATTTGGACACTTGCTAAAAACAGTGTGGACAGTCAGCAGTCAAAAATCTGATTTGAGAAGGAATCAGATTTGAATCAGATTCGCCTGCAGTCTGAACGCAGCCTATGTTGCAGAGAACATTTATATAGCTTGTGTTTGATCCCTTCATCAACATTTCTGTATTGTTTTGCGTTTTCAACTCACAGGCCTGTGTGCCCCTGAGCATCCCCATTGCCTTCATGTTTGTACTTACTGTAGTGTATTTTATGTGAATGGGATTAAATGAATGTACTGTAAGACATTTGATAACTGGGGCAATGGGGTCAGCAATTCTAATTTATTCCTGCTCAGATATTACCTTGGACCTGATATAAGGTAACTCTTTAGCCTGTGATTGGAAACAATATATTGATTTTAAAATGAAATCAGATGAATCAGTATACACATTTTTTCCCAAGTGAAAACTAATTTATAATGACTTCTTTATGTACTGTTCTTTCACAGGGATAAGAAACACAGCATATGGAACCTCTGATATTCCTTCTCCTGTTTGCAGGTATTTGTTGTAGTAGTACTTTTGAGGGTGTGGAGGAGAGAGGAGAAGGAGGGAGAAGGTGTAGAACTGTAATATTCAGTACTTACATAAACAACTTTTTTGTTAATTTGCAGGACTGTTGGGGTCAACATCAGTAACAGCACAAAACATGACTAACACAACAACAGGTAATAAATACTGAAGCCCTAACACGCAAGATCTAAAATTCTTTGAATGTTGCTTTTTTGTTTTTGTGTCTTAATTGTACATGTAACTGTTATTTAGTTAATAATACATTCAGTAAAGCCACAAACATATACCTTATTACAATGCAGTTACAACACAGGGCAACACAGCAGTATTTAGTGTAATTTCATGTTTTTAATGTGCTAAGTTGCTGGTAGTTGATATTGTGGTTGTTAGGAAGTTTTCAGTGGTGTAAGTGTAAGTGACTTTATGATGTCAGTGGTTTTCTAGGCATGTTATATGAACAGAAGGTGGTTGCTGAGGTGCCAGGGCCCAGTTGTTCAGAAGTAATCTAACTGGATTTCGACTATGGTATAGGATCAAATTCTGAAAATGGGATGTTCAAAAGGAAAAAAGGATTCTGAAATCAGATTAGATCATGTTATCCAGTCTTGTTTTTTTTCTAGACCAATCTAGATCAATCTTTGATCTATATCAAACCTGCAGTATGTGTTGGTCAAAACGTTTTAATAGAATTGGGAAATCTTTGATCCAAAAAATCAGGATTATTCTGATCCCAGCAGAAAGGTAGATTCACAGTGGATTTTACGAACAAAATGTAATAAAGCTTTTAAATTGGTAAAATATATTCACATTATGTATATATGTATATGTATTTTATTTACATTTTGCACTTTTTTTTAGCAGTCACTGTGGTAGATAAAGTAGACATTAGCCTACCTACAAAGCTTTTCAGTACAGTAAAGTAAAGAAAAAAAAAATCAAAACGATGTTGTCCCCATTATATATTCCCCTGTATAGCTGTCAAAATTAAAGAAAAAGTATTTAAATTTATGATCTGTTGCATTCTCTTTAGCCCCGGGGGGGTTGTAGTCATTCACTGCTCCATCCAGCACTCACTGTATTTCCTCCTTTATCACTCCGCACTTTGTTGATCATCCACAGAATGAGGTTGCACACCGACATTTTCAGAACAAAATAGAACAGGCTGCAGTCAGAGTCTCTCTCCATCGGACATTTAAAAATAGTGCAGTTTAGTTTAGTTTGTGCATTTAGTCCTTCTCAGGCAAGTGCAGGGGTTTAGTGTTGTAGGAGCCCGCAGGAGCCCACAGGAACAATGCTCCACAATGCTTTTGTTTCTTCGAGTGAGGATTTGGATATATGCAGTTCACATAATCCGGTCAAAATTAATATTTATTTTTTCAAACACTTGAAGATCCACTCATTACTAAAAGTGTGTGTCATCTAAGAGAGACGATAAAAACTAAAGTAATGGTCAAAGTTGTCACATTGAAATTTAAGGTGTGCTGATGTATTCATGTCATTAACTCATACATTGAGCAACATAACAAGTAAGCATTCCTTAAAAGTTGCTGGCATTTGGCCCAGTGAATTATTTTTCAAACACTACAGCTGCTGCAAGAGCCAGCAAAATATCCTTTCATTTTATAGTTACAGTTTGCTAATATATGTAAAACTCTCCACAATATGAACAGTGATCACATAAGCATCAAAACCAGCCACAACTCAACCCTGAGCATAGTGACTGTCCACTGTTGACCAATCAAGAAACCTTTAGGACAAGATCTGTGTGCTAGGTACCCCAACAGAGGGATGACCAAAAATGGGGGCAGTGCGGAACGGTTCCATTGGTACCATCCACAACTTTTCTCAATGGAAATGTAAAAAAAGCAAACTAAACTGTACCATACCGTACTGCTTGGTGGAAATTAGGCTTTTGGCGGCATCTGTGGTGATAAATGGTAATTGTAAAGTGTGCTGGCAGACTGCTGACTTTGTGATATGTAGTTGCATGGTTATCTGCATTTGGAAATGTTGAAAAGTTTGTATCTCGACCAGCGTGATCCAATCCAATGTTGCTTTGAAAAACCAAAACAAAAGTGAGATGGATTAGCTGATCTAGACTACATTTTTGACACAACTGGGCCCAGTCTATAATGACAAACTGTAATGCTAAGAATATCCTGACCAGTGACTGGGGTTTTCCTAGGTTGTTGCTAAACTATTCAAGGATTTCCAGTAGTCCTGCGGGAAACAATAAAAATCTTTAAAACTTTAAACCAACTCAGTTTGAGTCAGTACAACTTCAACAGATTACTGCATGATTTAACATCATTGGTTGTGCGAAAACTGACAGTAATGTCATTATTATACAGTGCTGTGGGAACATTAACAGAGAGCTTCAATACACAATACTTTACCTTTGACCAATATTCTGAATCATCTTCATCGGATAATGCAACCTCTGCTCCACCAAATGGAAGATCATCACAACCAAACATCACAACAAGGGGGGTTTCACCAGCTACAACATCTGGCCCATCATCTAAGTCAATAGGCATTACAACTTCATCGCAACTCACTGGCTCTTCAACTGTAGTAACTGAAACTTCATCTCCCCTTTCTTCAAGTCCGGCACCATTCGATACAACTTTCCTAAAAGTCCACACGACTTCAGTGGAACCGACTACATCAGCGTTAGTCA